CTAAAGATGCATGATTTCATTGTTTTCCGTGTCAATCCTACAGGCCTAAAGATGCATGATTTCATTGTTTTCCGTGTCAATCCTACAGGCCTAAAAATGCATGATTTCATTGTTTTCCGTTGCACGTTAATGGGTGTGACTCACGGGATGCTGTAGACTGTAGTGACACACAGGCTGGTGCTTGATAAACAGAGTTTTGACTACGCAGTATGCCATCACAGAATATAAACAAGTGATGCGAATACTACCAACCACCAAGTAATGTAAATAAAAAATGTGATATGAATACCTCCAACTCATGGATATGAATATGTGATGCGAATACTACCAACCACCAACGCATGGATATGAAAATGTGATGCGAATGGACATAAAAAAAACACGTAATGCGAATAATACCACCAATCAATTACTATTGGGTAGGTTGAATGAGAACTTAAAGCAGTTTTGGTGAAAAACAACTGATGGTTAAAACTAATATGTAATGTGAATACCACCAACTGATGGTTTAAACTAATATATGATGCGAATACCACCAACTGATAGTTAAAACTAATGTGTGATGTGAATACCACCAACTGATAGTTAAAACTAATGTGTGATGTGAATACCACCAACTGATAGTTAAAACTAATGTGTGATGTGAATACCACCAACTGATAGTTAAAACTAGTAAGTGATGTGAATACCACCAACTGATGGTTAAAACTAATATGTAATGTGAAGACCACCAACTGATGGTTTAAACTAATATATGATGCGAATACCACCAACTGATAGTTAAAACTAATGTGTGATGTGAATACCACCAACTGATAGTTAAAACTAATGTGTGATGTGAATACCACCAACTGATAGTTAAAACGTATGTGTGATGTGAATACCACCCCCCTCACACAAAGTGTTGAACATGGAGCGTCTAGGCTTTGTTAAACCAAAGCCATACTCCCGTTATGTGATTCATTCAGTACCTCGTTTTAGTTCCATAAAGTCGCCATTTTGATTTCTTCTTTCCCCTCTCCATATTATCCCCCCCCCCTTTCCACGTGCCAATGTTTCAATACACTCTCATCAACCGATGACCCTATCCAGAAAAAAAAATCCCTGGCGTGCGGGGGTTGAGAAGATGAAAGTTCTCGAACGTCCCACGGTGGCTTCATGCCCTAATGTTTTTCCCCACCCCGCGGGCCATCACTTCCCCTCTATCAGCCAGTTATCAGACACTAGAAGGGGATGAGTTGATTGAAGACTCTATACAACCGAGATATCTAATGCTATTAAAAGTCTCAGTACGACAATAATTGCTTCGGAAAGAGCCGCACCTGTAAGGCCCCTGTTATCTTTTGTCCAATAAATCGAATATTTTTTATTTTTTAAAATTTGGCAGGAGTTTTTTTTACACAATAAAATAAATTTTGGTTGAGAAACCAGTCCGTCGACTCCTTAACATTACAAGGCCGTTCACTAATTAACGCTAACGCTGGGTAAATGGGGAGGGTTGAGGGGGGGGGGGGGAGTTCAAGGTTGGCTTTAAATCACACCTGCATACCTTCGTTCTATAAAAATATCACAGGCGGCATTAATATTCTGTGAGAAGTTTCTCCGGCTTACAGCTATATCGGTGCCAGCAAAATAATACATTAAGGTTTGTAATCAATGGCTTCTTGAAGTATTTGTTATCTGTTTAAAACAAAACTATTTCATCGTTTACTTCTTACTTTCATTGTTGACTAACTCACAGAAAATAAGTTACATGCGCTTCTGGGATAAACTGGCACAAGAAAGGGGAGAAATTTGGCAGAGATGGTCCCACACTAAAGTCAACTATAAGGCCAACACAATGCTAATGTTAAACCAACATTATAAATTATTTTTCTTTAATTACAAAATACAGGGGGGAAAACCAGACCCAAGTAAACAAAGGTAAAAGTGTGGACTAGTGCCAACCTTGCCGACTTAGTTTTACGTTTACCACAGCGGCCTACACGGGAGGAAGGAAATTGAGTTCTAATCTTTACAAACTGTGGTACCTGCACTTTCCATCTAATCCAGAAAACAGAGAAACGACAACACCCCGTACCATCTAGGAGAGAAAACTAAAATAAACTGCTCTATAGTTTGCTCTTGGTTGGACATTTAGCACATTTAGAAAGAAAAGAAAGCTGAAATCGGAATCAACGGCTTACAACAAGTTGACACTAAATACTTAATCGTGTTGGAGGAAATCTCTTCCAATTTTATAATCGAGAACGAAAAAGAAGAGAAACTATTACTTTATTAGGACTACGGTTAGGAATCAATAAGTGATATAGAGTATCAAACAACTCATATTTCGGGCTTAACGGCATGTTACCAATATTTTCTTTTAAGAAAGGCAGGGTTGACCTATGAACTCTAGCCGCCCGCCCACACACTTAAAAGTCCCAGCAAGATTTCTCAACACTGCGATCAATATTGGGAGAAGGGGATGGGGGCGGGGGCGAGACTCACCAACAAGGTGACATTGGAATCAAGAGAAGAAAGGAAAATGAACTAACGAAGAACATGACAAGAAAGAAAACTAAAAAGATAGGAAACTGAACTAGGAAAGGAAACTGAAAAGAAAACTGAACTAGGAAAGAAAATTGAACTACTATTGCTAGGAAAGAAAACTGAAACTAAGAAAGAAAACTAAATAGAAAGGAAACAGTACAGAGAAAGGAAACGGGGACATTAGTAAGAAGGCAGTCAACTGTGGCAGAAAACTCAACAAAAGTTGAAATAAAACTGAAGCAAGATTAAACATAATCCGCATTGTCAAAAAATAATGTCACGCAAATATTGTTATACGGCCACCCGGATTATTTTGTAATTTCTTTCAAGATTCGTCTAAAATAATTGCGCAATACTCAAACAAGTGCAAAAGCCGCTCTAATGCGGTTTTATTTAATCATTTCTGTGAACTGGTTTACAACCGGTAACCCGAGTACTTTCATCAGAACCCGCGGTAACATGAAGCAATGTAGTCACGAGGAAATCATATTCTGGATGCACTGGGGTTTTTTTTTTTTTTTAGTGTTGCAACATTTTTCTTTTATACGTGGTGGAGAGATGAGTGATCTACTGTATTATTAAACACACCTAGTGTACCACTAAACAAACCTAACGTACTAATAAACAAACCTAACATACCACTAAACAAACCTAGTGTACCACTAAACAAACCTAGCGTACCACTAAACAAACCAAAGGTACCACTGAACAAGTCTAGCGTACCACTAAACAAGTCTAACGTACGCCTAAACAAGTCTAACGTACCACTGAAAAAACCTAGTGTACCACTAAACAAGTCTAACGTACCACTGAACAAACCTAGCGTACAACTAAACAAGTCTAGCGTACCACTAAACAAACCTAGCGTACAACTAAACAAGTCTAGCGTACCACTAAACAAACCTGGCGTACCACTAAACAAGTCTAACGTACCAATGAACACACCTGGCGTACCACTAAACAAGTCTAACGTACCAATGAACACACCTAGTGTACCACTAAACAAACCTAACGCACCAATAAACAAACCTAACGCACCACTTAACAAACCTAGCGTACCACTAAACAAGAATAGCGGCCTACTAAACAAACCTCGGTAATTATTTATTTAATTAGCGTTGAATGCACAGGATATGATTATTAAACATTTACTTTACTGACATCAACTAGGCCCTAGTTTATTTTCAATAAATATGTTGGTGGAGAGGGGGAATAATGGAGCAGCCCATTAGATAACATAAACATAAAGGAGAAATTTCAGTTGAATTGAAGGAAGGAAGAGAGAAAAATTCAACAAGACAGTATGATCTCAGGAGGCTGTAGCAGATGGTGCAAGGATTATCAGTGTCCAGGGGTGGTTAGAGCAGGGGGGGGGGGGGGGACTAGGGCAGGGGTGGTTAGTACATGGGGCAGGACTGTTGTTGTCTGACCAATGAGAAGTTCTAAATATGGAATGTGCTCAGTGGGGATTGATATATTCAAAGAAATATTTGGAAAATAAAATGGAGGATTGAATAGAACAGAAAAAGTGTGATATTAATTAAGGGATATTGTTTATTAATATTTCTACATAAATTATTTTATCAAACTAGCAGTTATTAAAATGTCATTAGTTCTGATTATAATTATAATTATGATCTGGGGTTGTTGACTACAGTAGGGAATATAGTTGACAACTATACACAAACACATAGTAAAGATCACTGGCAAATGAATGTCTATCAGCAGTCTACACGGCCACAAGACACCAGCCAACACAATAGCTGTCTCAAGCACCAATTGTATGGGCCCACCAGCAGTCTACTTTCAAGACAGCTGTCTCAAGCAGCCATCACACCAATTGTATGGGCCCACCAGCAGTCTACTTTCAAGACAGCTGTCTCAAGCAGCCATCACACCAATTGTATGGGTCCACCAGCAGTCTACTTTCAAGACAGCTGTCTCAAGCAGCCATCACACCAATTGTATGGGCCCACCAGCAGTCTACTTTCAAGACAGCTGTCTCAAGCAGCCATCACACCAATTGTATGGGCCCACCAGCAGTCTACTTTCAAGACAGCTGTCTCAAGCAGCCATCACACCAGTCCAATTTTTTCATGCCCATCAACAGTCTACATACAACACAGCTGTGCTAATTTAAATTTATTTTGTCCATGTGAACTTTGCAAGTAATAGCTTCATTAGCCATTCTGTTCTTTATTCAATACTTATGTACTGTGTAAATTAGAATGTGCGATGGGCGGTTGGGGGGATGGTGGGGGAGGGGGTTGGTATTGCAATTAACCAGATCAAATATTTATAGGAATTAATCATCAGAGAGAAGGACTACAATATTAATGGATTACCTTGCAGAAGTAAAGATTATCATATCTAACTAAGTACCATAAGTCAGCTTAGCAACAACATGATGGTTCTGGCAACCTTTCAAGTCCGGCGCTATAATTTGTAATGAGTAGAAAAGAACTTACTTTTAAATACTGATGCATACAGAAGCGACAGACTTGACTTTCTTCAATAGAGGAAGTATCCATTTTTTTCAAGAAACCTTTTTTAGGCTACAGAAAGAGAGAGAGGAGGTTTATTAACACACTGTATAACGACTCTATAAAGGTGAAGGAGAGCTGGGTGGGAATAGAAGAGGCCGACTTGGTGGAAGCCAAAACAATGAAGTGGTCTGAAGGAGCATTTACAAATGTTCTGTGTGCTGCCTTTTGTGTTTATGAATTTATGAAGTTAATGAAGAAAACAATCAAGAATGAAGTAGAGGAGAATAATTTTCTATTTTTTACAAGTTACATACAAGCATTTGTTTTATCATGTCTCAAAAGTATAAAAGCCCAAGCATCTTGTCCCAAACTCAAAAAAGCACTTTTAACCATACAATTTCTTTTTATATCTGATGTATTACAATAAAAAAAATCTTAATCTGTAAACAAAAAATATATAACATTTTTTTATTTTCACCCCACAACAATTTATATATTGCTATAATACTCCAGAAGTAGAATAAGGATTGTCTAGAAGAATGCACCACCTCAAGCTGGTTACTCTGATTGTTTATGTTGGAATACTGTGAGCAGGGAATGTAAACCAAAAGGGTGACTACATTGGAACAATGCCAGTGACAGAATTCAGTAGAAGAGTTTAGAAGGTTCCAGAGAAAAACAAGTCATGTGAATTCGTGCTATAAAATAAAAATTTGTATTTTACCTTTATTTCAATGCTGAGTGTGTAGCTCGAATCATCTCTACTTTCCTTCAAGTTTTTACTGAACTCGTCCTTTGAATTACCAGCGTCCGTAATGTAAAACTGACCACAGGGGATATTTTTTCTAGAACCGCCCTCATCACATATATGTGGTGCGGAATCCTCCAGCTCCTCCCCACCGTACACGCACTGAAACGACAGGGCATCGTCCTCGTCGTCCACCAGGGAGAAATGTGTTTCCAGGCTGTCGTTGAACTGGTCTGTTTGCGTGCTGGAATCCTGGCTGTCCCCAGAACAGCTGCTGCTGCTGCGCCGCAGGCTGTCGGTGGAGATGATTTTGATCATTGGGTTCTGTCTGTTGCAGGTGTTTTCGTCCGCTTGATGATTGGTGCCAGGGTGCCCTTCCGAGCTGCCAGAGGTGGGGTTGCAGACAAAACAACAGTCTGGGAGGACCAAGGCACACTGAACATGGGTGTCGACGATGTCTCTGTGGGAATTCTTCCTGTGAGCTGAAACCAGAAGACTAACATTACACCTATTTGCAAAGTACATTATCAGAAACATGGTACCAATCACAGTCTTTTGGAAACATTTAAGTTAATGATTATTATATAAATAACTAGAACACCTATTATGAGAATTTTACCAATAAGAGTATTTTTAGATGGGTGGCCATGTTTTCTAAAACCATGTTACTTAGCGCCAGCACTATACTGAATCTATTAGGGTGTGAGATTGTCAAATCTATCACCCATAAGCCCCTGGACGTGCTCTACAAACACCTTTAGTGTACCTTAATCCCCCCTCCATAATGGTGATGGGCCGCCCATGAATTAAAAAATCAACACGGTTTAAATTAACTCTTAATAAAGTTTAACACACCTGGCCTAGCTTGACCAGCTAGCTCCACAGCTTTTTCTCCAAATCCTTTTGGCAATAAAATGAGTTTCTGAAATATGGTGCATAACATAGATCACAGACTATCCAATATTTTTTTTTAATGGATCATAATGCTTTCATTTTTAACAAAGTGCAAATGTATGTGATATCTCTTATATTATAAGAAAGAAAAATTAGTTATCAGGACTAACTTACAGGTATCACAACATATCGATCAGACAGGAGAGGCCTCATAATATTCTTCATGTAACTGATAACTTGCCTCAATTCCATACACACAGCTTTTTGAATATTCTGTAAATCATATGAAATCATGTAATAATTTCAATATGAATTTACTTATCTGAGGTCAACTAGTTAGTACAGTCTCCCAACCCCATGGTGATCAACAACATTTTTAAACATCCTTATGGGTAAATTCATGATACAATGACAGATACAGTAAAACAAAATGTAACATCGCTTTACTTGGCTCACTACCAAAGGTTCTTATTTTTTGTATTATCACTTCCAGACAAAGCATATGCAAGTAGAAAGGTTTATGTGGCTTGAATAACCTTGTGCTTTATTATATGGGACAGCAAATATATAAGTAAGCCATAGCAAAAAAAAAACAACCCAGAAAATAGACAATATTCACTAGTACAATAAACAGTACCTACCTCGCCATATGATTTACCAACACCATTCAACAAGTGATCTCTTATCTTCTGAGTAGCATTTTGTTTAACTAATCTGTACACTTGTTTTGTCTGTAAGTTTATTCATTTAAAAAAGGTTTATTATTATAATTTTTTTTTAATTTTCTGCGTATATTGTGGGTGTTTACAAAAGTAAACTGGACACTAAAACATTTATAACCCAAATGAATTTTGAAGTACATCAATTAACCCTGAATATTTGCACCAATTGGATATATTTAAGAGGACTGTGGTAGAAAATAATCAGAAAACTATAACTCATTTTAGGAATATGTAAAAGTAGAGTTACTTCTATCCTGAGCAACAATAATTATTTAATAAAGTATGTAAAATTAATTATATTTTCACTAGCCTATATACTAGTTATTCCTATTTTCTACTAAAAGATATGAAAAATAGTAGACCTAAAAAATAAAGTAAAAAAAAAAAATTAAGCCAATGTAAAGTAAAACGTTTTGTAGGCTACTTATGACATAAAAAGCTTTTTATATAAAGGGAAAGTAGAAAGGTATTGGATGTTAGAAATAGTTAGATTCTTGTAAAAAGGTGCCATGTATTTAGTAACGAAAATATTTTGTTCCAGTTGTACTATACACTATACTGTTACTGGTTGCTTTCACATGAAATTTCAACACAATTAGACTATAGAAAAGTGGGGAATATGGATTTTTTTTTCACTTTTACACTAGCAGTGCTAAAATATAAATGTTTTTCAGATATTGCAATGGTTAAGATTCAAGTGCAAGGCATATACATCTACACCTCACACCATAAAATTATTAAAATTATGTCAGTAAAATTAACCTGTAAGAATGACCTATCCCCCATGATGTTAGAGAAATTTCAAACAAACAATAGGCCTAATAACTAAAATTAGGGTCTAACAGGTTTTTCTTCATTTTATTTTTAAGACATATGCCATAAAATACACATAGCCTATGGAAAAATATTATTTAATTAAAAGACTCACACACAGTGCATACACAATGTGCATGGACCACCCCTAATCACTCCCCTAACATATAGGCCTGGGGCCTAAATATGTTTTTTATAGGCCTAATAAACCGATTTAAAAAATAGTTGGATAAATTGTAGGTAGGCGGTAAATGGATAAACACATTTCAATAATAGTAAATTAATGTAAAGGCCTAAGTTATTAAATTTCTTCCACAGTTTACATTTAGACTAGATTCTAGAATCTAACTGAGTTTTCCATTTTTGGTCTAGAATCTAGTTACTAAAAAGTAGCAACTGTTGTTAAAAAAAATGATGGTGTTTCTGTTTTTATCAGATGTTCATAATCTATTATTTATAATGAAAAAGAGTCTTACAAGTCCTATAGATAAAACTAGATCTATGTAACAAACAAAATCTACGAGAGTTTAGCTAACAATAAGATTAACAGGTAATACACACTACACTCACACATTGATTCATTCATTCAAATTCAAGTCTCAAGTACTCGAGTCGGAGTTGTTTTGGAGATGAGTTTCAAATAAAATTTTAAAAAATAGAAACTTACGAGATCTATTAGAATATAAGAATATATACCTGTGGGTTTGCGAATACCATTGATCGGTTTCCTTCGCCCCTATATTCCAAGTCAAAGAATCGTTCCATTCCAAAATTCATTAAGAAAATATTTTTTGTTTTGTATTTTTAACAAAATGCGACCCTGCTTATCACAAAAACCGGATATTGACAAGGGCAACCACTCTGTGCGCTTAGAATTAAAGGACAATAAAGTGAGGAACAGCTTAGCAGTCTAAAAAGAACACGAAAAATAAAAATAGAAATAGATCTAGGATCTAGATTCTAGGATGTACGGTGACCCGAATCCTAACTAAATAAATAACGTGGGCTTAGATCTAGTCTATATCGATATTAATTATTACAGTAATAAACATTATTAATTCACGCATTTAAAGCTACTGTAAATAACAGTGTATTTTTTCTATTAAAAAGTGTATATTTAAAAACATGTTTAAAAATAAAAGTAGAGTCGACAACACCGAATATTTTTGACGACCCGCTCACCCATCAGTGTTTCTTTCGGGGTTTTTTTCTCCGGAGGGGGGGGGGGGGGCACTTAATAATTTTTTTTTTGGGGGGGGTATATTTCCGGGGGGCGGACACTGATAAAAGTATATATTAAATATATAAATTCCATTATGTTCGGGGGGGGGGGGGGGAATGGTGATGGTGGTGGTGCACTATCTTGGTAAACTGCCCCCACCCCGAAGAAATGCCTGGAAGAATTTCTGTCACCCCCCCCCCCCCCCCAGATCCCCACTTCTCATACAGAAATATTTTCTACGTGAGAGGGAGGGGTGAAATCTTTAATGAGATGGAAACAGGTATAAGTATTTTCATTAAGTTATTTATTTTTTATGTCTCTATTTCGTCTCGCTTCACCCTAACACCCCCCCCCCCCCTCAGGAGAGATGCGTGGGAAACAATGATCTCCAATACATGAAGGTTAGAGGGAGACACTACAGAAAGAACAGAAACAATTAAAGAAACGGGACGTCTAAGGTCTAAAGAGCCTAGAAGCCTTCGTTGTAGTTAGGGCGTGGTGTAAAAGTGTAGATATTTTTTAAAGAAATTATGAATAATTCTGAATTTTTTTTATCAAAGAGTGTGGGGGTGAAAGGTGTAATTGTAAGTAATATTATGTGAAGCCCCCCCCCCCCCACACAGTCACTCCTCATACCCAACGTCATAACAAGTCATATTACCCCTACCTTTCTAAAATGATGTCCCAGTTCAGCACCCTTCCCCATCCTCCCACCCCATACACACACTCAAGCACATACACAAAAAATGACAAACTTTGATTGTTGAAATTGCGACTTCTTAACACATACAGACCTATTAACTATAGTGGATCAAGATTATGTAGCCCACATTCATCCATTTTATTGCAATTTTTAAACATCCGCTATACATCATGAAGTATTAATAAAATACCCATGAATATAGAAATATTACACACGTTACTACACAAACATATTACACAAGTTACACGTGTGCAAAATAAATGTTTAACATTTATGGATCTACATTATCCCAAAAGCATCGGTGGGGGGGGGATAATTGTTATGAAATGGTTGATGGTGTGGGGGGGGGGAGAGATAGTTTTTGTTAAATGGTGGATGGTGGGGGATAGTTGTTATGAAATGGGGGGGGGGAGATACTTGTTATGAAATGATGAATGGTGGGGGGGGGGAGATACTTGTTATGAAATGGTGGATAGAGGGGGTGGGGGTCTTTTTTTGTAGAAAAAAAATCGCTAAAATAGCCATAGGCTAATTTAAATAAGTAGGCTGTATTGGCATTGGTGTTAATTAAAAACGATTCATAGACATTTCAAATCGGTTTCGTGTAGGTGTTTAAACAAAGATATTAATCCTTATGCCACCTTCACATCAAGCATTTCTTAATTATTTATACATCAGTATGTCTATTTATATTATATTTTTGCGGATGAATATTATTTTCTTAACAGCTGTCTATCCACTTGCCTCCCCCCCCCCCACCAGAATCATTCTACAGCAGTTTTCTCAGGCATCTCCTTCTCCCCCCCCCCCCCCCAGAGGTGTAGCGAGAGGGGGGGTGCGGACCGCACCGGATGACACCATTTAGTGTGTGACACCAATGCAAAAAATAGCAAAATACATAGAGAAAAATTTGAGGGTAGGGGGTGCAAATTGAAAGTTCAAGGGAGGGGGGGTGCAAATCGAAAATTGAAAGTTTGTCCCCGAAAAGGGTCGCTACGCCTCTGAGGGGTGACACCATTAAGTGCCGCACCTCGCTACGCCACTGCCCCCCCCCCCCTCCTCTACACACACAGAGAAAACATAGACTGTAATTTATGTAGGAAATGAAGACTTTAACTAATAATGTCTGCATACCCCGGTGTTTTAAGTGCCCCATTTACCGGAGAAAAAACTTATGAAAGAAACCCTACTTTACATAACTTAAACAACTTTGTGTCGAATTCATGTTCCAACTGTGATTATTTTCTCTCTCTCTCTTTTTGTCTGTAAGCGGATGTTAAAAATACAACACAGGGACCAGTTGTTTTCCCTTCAAACTTCTTTCGTCATATCCTGTAATTACAAAACAATATCAAAACTTGGCACCAACCTTTAATTATTTTTATTGTTTTATTGATGGGGGAGGTGTATTTGGGGGATCGGGGGACATTACGTCACGTGTTGATTTTTAAAATGTTTTGGTTGGCCAGGATTTCATTCACGTGATCTCGATGTTTATTTTAAAAGCCGACACACATTGGATGTCGATACTTTCAGCTTTATCCTGCCCGACCTTAACATAATCACCGAATTATATTCGTGTGATCGATCCAGTAGCGTACGCAGGGGGGGAGCAGGGGGAGCGGGCCGCTCCCCCTCTGGCCATTTTCATCAAAGTGGCGCCTTTTTGGAAACTTTTTAAACTCAAAGTTTTAAACAACGATATTTGTTAAAAAAATATTTTTGGTCGGCACATCTATGTAAATCACAAGATTTCTTTTCATGCAGCAATTAAGCATTATTGTACTAGTCTAGTAGTGTTTACAACACGTATTAACAGCTGCATCAGTTTACCATTCTAAAAAATAACCATTACGATGCTTTGCAATGTTTAAAAAACCTCTACGGGTAGTACTACTTGGCAAGAGGGGTGTTACGTTTAAGGCAACTGAATAATGTATTTGCTTACGAATAATTGAATTAGAAAATGTTATACATAAAACTTCACACATAATTACTTTATATATACAGTTTGAATCGTGTGATTAATTAAAAAAAAAATTCCAATACAGAAACAAATACAACTGATGTGGCACCTCTATTTAAATTTTCTTATCAGCAAACTGCGTAGTGGTGGGGAAATTTTGAAAAGGTCAACAACGTCATCACGATGAAGTAGTAGTATTCATACAGTTTGGGCGATAGTGATTACGATTACAAATTATATGAAACAGTTACAACCCCCCTCCCCCATGGACCCCTCTGTAAAAAAATATATTGTCATAATACCAATGCTACTTATTTAAATCTATTTCTGTAATATATATTTGTGTAATATATATTTGTGTAATATATATGTATGTTTTAGAACAGTCATCTAAAAAACTGACGCTATGTGCACCCTGAGTTGGTTATCTCTCCCCCCCCCCCCCACACCTCACCACTACAATTGTGTAGAGCGGCATTAATGTCACACCTAGGTATACACTGGGTTGGATAATTTACCTATAGTGACCGGACAGTGGTGAATGAAGTTGAACCCCCCCCCCCCCAACCCACCCCGAACTGATCTGTTAAGTACATGTAGAAAAACGCGTATTGATGTACGAAAGTACCATGCCGCCAGAACATTAGCTTGTTAAACGTAAAACTCTGTGAATATTGTTTTTGCAATTACCAGTAAAAAGGTGAGTGATCAAAACAATGATCTAACCCATACCTATCACTATGTTAAAAATGATCTTTATAAAACCCAAAAGAAGCAGTATTTAATTAAAAATATATGATCTGAACTAAAAAGACATATGTTCAGTTAAATTTAGGCTGCTATTCCGAGTGGTGTCCTATTAATTCGAAAAGCGTGGTTTTATACGACTTATGATTTTAAAAACTTTCATTATGCTGTAATACTTTAGCATTTATGATAACGATATATTAAATTCTGATTATAGACAAAAACATTTTGTAAACACGAATAGTGTTAAACAATTTCATTATATTCTAAAGTAAATATTTATTTGTTTTGACATTTTTAATTAAATGTTTAGTTATATACATATTTATATTAAGAGAGTGATTATTTCCCCTATTTAACTTGTCTTAAATAATTTCCCAGGAATCATTATGTAAGAATTTTGTTTACAGGAATTACAAAACAGATTGTGTTACGTTCATTGTTTTGGTTGTAGTGTATATATATATATACTATATATATATAATTATATATATATATATATATATATATATATATATATATATATATATATATATAATATATATATATATATATATATATATATATATATTGTTTACATTGATACAGTTTTTGTTTTGTCTGCCTACATTGTGTGTTTTTTCTTATTTCTTTAGAGTGCTACTTTCAATTTATTTTACATCATATATATATATATATATATATATATATATATATATATATATATATATATATATATATATATATATATATATATATATAATACACGTATATAGGACGTGTTAAAAATTCGGCGCCTTTTTTTGTTCTTTTCGCTCCCCCTACAACGGAAACCTGGATACGCCTCTGGATCGATCCCTCTGATGTAGATTTATTGCCGATCAAAAGAAATATAGCCTCGAACCCTTTCTCTACGGAAATTTTTATTTCTCCAATATTTATTTGGGATCGTGTTATAAAACAGAAATATATATCCATTCAATCTCTACCCTGTAACATAATTTAACATTTCATAAAACTTTTTTAAAGAAGCCCTCCATTCCCCCCCCCCTTTCCTTTTATACCTTAACACGATTTGGTACTATACTATATGTTTGTTTTGAATTAAGTAAATCACATACTTTCAAACAAATTAGAAATGAATGTAAGGCTTTATGTTGTATGAAAAGATCACGTCTATACTATGAGCCATTTTGTACAAACGCTTTCATCCAA